CATCTCAGACAGAAAAAAAAATTTACCAATTTTTTCAAAATTTTATAAGGGGTTACATCGTTAAAATTGTCAAAAATTGACAAAAAATTTCATTTTAAGTTGAGTATGCAGATCTATAGTCGTACTAAAAACTAACATAATACTGATTTCCGAATTGAAATTAATGCATTTTTGACTTAGTTACGACCGATTTTCTCTCCAAGGGTATATTAATTTCCGGTTCCCAACCATTAACGAAATGTTCTCAAAGCTCTACAACTTTTCTTTCAGTGCATTATTTGCCATTAAAAATGAGAATTCACTAAATGAGCCAATAAAACACCGTATTGTAATTTTTCCGTAATTTTCCCTCAAACAATGAATGTCAGAGAGGCAAAAAGCAGGGCTATTTTCCATGTTTACTATCGCGTAAATATTGAAACGGGGCACCCAATTTATGCCAATTGGTAAAATTAGTTAAGTTTTAATGAATTTAGGTTTATAGTTTTAATTTGTTTGTCGTCGGTGTCGGTGACGGCGTCGGAAAAGTTTCTGCTCCCTAAAAATGTGGATTTTCTAGTGGCAACCAATACACGATTAGGCAGGCGCTTAAATCGCGGTTGCAACTAAACCGAAAAATGTTAATTTACGGATCCGGGGCAGTAGCCGGGGCTTACCCAAAAGACGGGAGACTGTGTAGCACCTCTGTCCGGGTGGAATGAGGAGAGGTTATTTGCATATTAAAAGTCCCTTGAAGGTCGCCCGCCAAATCACTATTGATTGCACACGCTAGCAAAGTTTGAGGTGGTAATCCGGGATTAACAACAACGACGACGACGTCGACGCGGGGCTCCACCTGGAAAATTCGTTTGGGCAAAGACCAAGGAGCTTGGCGGCCAAAAAAAAAAAGAACACACACCCAAGCACACACACACACACAGAGAGAGTTGGCAGGCAAACAAACAACCAAACAACTGGCGACTGCCAACAAACAACAACACAGAACTGAGAACTGAGAACCGAGAACTGAGAACAGCGAACGAAAACCCATTGAGCAAATATTTAACAAAGCGCAAAATTGCAACGTTTTTCTTTTATTTGCATATTTAATTTGTTTCGAGGTTTTTTATTTCCGAGCACAAAAAACCGCTGACACGAACAACAAAAAGCAGTAACAACAGTAGCAACACAGCAACAGCTACCCAAAAAAACAACAAAAAATTGCACAAAAACAATCACGAGAATTGTGCACAGGCAAAACAAACAAACACACACCATACACACACCACACACACACATTGAGAGTACGAGTGTACGGAATGGATCCCTCCATCATCACCAGCCACTTTTCTGAGGGTCTGAACTTTAAAGCGGCCCCCATGAAACAGGATAGCAAAAGGGCCTTACCCATTGCTATGGCCATCCATCCAGGCACTCATCCAACCAGCTAGCCATCCATCCATCCATCCGTTCGTCATGTGTAACCATTTTTGGCCATATAAAGTAACAGGAATTGAGTTGCTGAAACGGTCCTCTGACAGACGATATCCTAGCATTATCCGTCTGCCAAAGGACACAGTCAGGCAATTAGCTACACAAGAGAACCAAGGCAAGAGAGATGGCATGGAACTACAAATCAGAGATTCATATTCATTCCCAAATCGAGCAGTCAAATTCACCAGGGAAATTCTTTAAAAACTCTGTTTATAAATAAAACAAAATGTTAATATTAAAATATAACGTTTTGTTTTATAGTTTTAACATCCTTTTAAAAGGGTTTCCCAAACCTTTTTGATAACATATTTAATATACCCCACATTTTTAGGGTACAAGAGCTTACTAGATTTGTTGGAATTTATGCGAAAGAAAAAAGAATTTGTTTGAGAGCCACAGACTTTTTGCACACAGATATGTAGGATTTTTTTAAAAGCTACTTTTATTTCTAAAATATTAAACAGAGTTGTTTAAAACCAACGAGCGAACTGAAATATAAGTATTTAGTCAGCTCATTAGATGTAAGCCAAAAGTTGCCACAAGGCAAGGCGAAAGTACACTAAATATATAATAAAACAACTTCATTCATAAGATACCTATAAAATTGTTTAAATATATGCCTGAGAGTATTCCATAAAATGTTAAATGTTAAATATTCTAAATTAGTGATGCATAGTTTAGGGCGGTTCGGCCACGCCAAGATTGCCACCAAAACAGCTGTGATCTAAAAAGTCCTTGAAAGATAGCTCAAAAGTATGCTACACAAACTTTTTAGTCATACAATTTAAAAAAAAAAAATAAAAACCGCCATCAAAAGGCTTTGATAACTTCTTGATTTTTTGGTAAATTGAAAATGCATTCAATTCCAAATTATCTCATTCTTATTTAGAAATATTTATTATTAGAATAACATCTGTGGCCGTGCCTGATTACCTAAATTCAATGTGACAGATATATAATTAACCTTGCAGGGTATTATAATTTCAGTCAGATGCTTGCAAATCATTGAAGGAATCATTTCCGACCCTATAAATCATATATATTCTTGATCAGCATCAGCAGGCGAATCTTTCTAGGCATGTAGGAAGGAAACAAATTTTTAGCAATTTTTTTTTTCAAAAAATAATAAAGGATTACATCGTTAAAATTTTGGTAAAAATTTGAATATTTTAAAATTTTAATTTAGGTATGCAGATTTTTTAACCTATTAAAAACTGGCACAGAACAGCTTTCCAAATCTAAATTAATGTTTTTTTAGCTTAGTTATGAAAATTATAAACTTTGATTTGTCTGAAATATGTTCATATAGGATCATTTATAAATACGGATTAAAAGTTTATCTATGATCGATTTCCGATACGATCCTATTGTTCAATTGTAAGCTGCATGGGTATATTAACTACGGCTTCCCGAATTTAGTTTCCTTTCTTGTTTAAAATAGTTTCCAAAGTCAGGCTGCGGTATTCCTTCACTGGCAGAGGTAGCACTATTACCATTACTACTCTATTTACATATATATGCATGTTAACTTTGGCATTTAGCAACTTTTGCTCGCTGCTAATGATGATGTTGGCAGCTACCGAAGCTGGAGCTGGAGCTGGAGCTGGAGCTGCACTCGCAATACATTCCTAAATAATTCATTGTCGGCTGCACTCAGCGTTGGTAATTTGCTTGTTGCTAAAAGTTGTTGATGTTGTGCTCCATGGCAGGGCTGTGCGATGCGGTGCGATGCTAAGGGCAACCAATATTTGTGGCAACAAAGCAGGCCAGGAGTCGAGCAAGGAAGCAGGGGCGTGGCACCTTGCCACGGGTGTTGACGTCATGAACGGCGCTTAATTAAAGCGAAACCCGGCTCAATGCTAAAAAGGCGGTCCTTCACTTGCAGGATATATACGTATATATATATATATACACATTTTTGTCTTATTTTCTGCTGTTTGCCGCTGCTAAAAAGAAAAGCAAAGCTATGCCATCCTTTTGCCACTCGTCAGCCGTTGCTTCGGGTCCGCCCATCCAATTTGATGGCTCCACCCAGGACGCCAGGAAACACGGGGACACGGGTACACTGGGATACCAGGACACCCGGCTCAGCGGGTGGGCATGGAAATGGCTGGCGTTGCCGCAAGTCAGTTAGAAGCCGCAAACTGTCACAGTTTAACAACATTTTCATTAATCAAGTCGCCGCTGCAACTGCCACCTGAAGAGCCCAAAGAGCCCCAAAAGAGTCCCGAAAGAGGACGAAAGAGATTAAGGGGACTCCAAACTCAGGCCGAATCCGGCTCTGGCTTCGACTCCGACTCGCCCCGAAGTAGAGCCAAGTCCTGGCTTTGTCGTCGTCGTCGTCATCCTCCCCGTTATCAATGTTTTTTCGGCAACTTTCTGTGTCATGCTCAACATGCTTCTTTGTGGCAATCCAGAGCTCCTCCAGCTCTCAACCTTCTCCTCCTGCTGCTCCTCCTTGGAAGCTTTTACGGTCATTGATATGTCCATCCGTCTGTTTCCATAGCAATCACTTGGCCGCATTCCCCAAGCAAACCACCGAAATTTAACATTTTCAAATCCTTCATTTTGATTGTTCCTACTATAGAAATATATATAAGCTATATAGGCAGGTATATTCAAAAAAAAAAAGAAAACATACTGAATTTTTCATGACTGAAAAGCAATAAAAAATAAAATGTCGGTTGACCGTTTGGGCTTAAATTTTATCACCAGCATTTACTACTCGTAAACACCGAGCATAATTTGGAGCCGTAAAGCATGCTTTTTAAGCCCAAGCACAATGTCGAGGGGATGTGTACCTTTTCTGGGCTCTCAAATTAAGAATTGTTGATGCTTAAATTCTTGTTTTTATACATATATATTTTTTACAAGTTTAAAATGATTTTATGCTCACATAATCATAATACTAACTAGATGGTATGAGCAAACGAATGAGCATATAATATGTGGGTGTATTTTGTGATATTACAAGTCTTTAAAAATATATGTAAGAGATTTAAAATATAAAATCCTATAGTATTAGTTAGTAATCAAAATTTATACCTATTATCCCAGTTTAAAGTCAGTTTAATCAGTTTGTATACATATATTTTTATAAACTCTACAATTTATATCACAATTTTTACGTTTACTAAAAATTCCCCCTCCATTCTCAGATCCTGCTGAAATTAAGGACTAACTAGGTGGGGGGGCTGGGTTGCGTTAGGTAAAAATAATCCTCTTATTTATTTGGCGAAAAATCCGCTGTGTTGCGTGTCCTCGTTATGTGTCCTTTTCTGCTCCGCGGATATTGATACGCATTGCGGTGTGGAGTCAGTGGGAGAGGGAGGGCTCCTGGAGCCCGCTAATTACCCAATCCCATTGATGACGCTGGGCAAACTTTGGCCAATCAAGGGTAAACCTTTTGGCCTTTTGTTCTTGTCACACCTTTCGACCCTTACGCATCCTTGGGCATTCACAGCCCACGCTCTGTGAAAGTCCTTATTAATTGACAAACTCTCTGTATTGTTGCGCATTCCTTTCAGGTGGAAGCTGCACTGCTATTTCACGAGGTTAGAGACCGAGCCCGGGACCGAGACCGAGACCGAGAGAGCCCACCGGTGTCCGTCGAGACATTAATTAATAACGACCTTGTCTGTTGCACACACACAGAACACAACACCGGCAATCCGTAACCCACAACCCGCAAGCCGCGATCCACCGCCCCACCGCGAATTAAAACAGGGAGAGGAGTCGGAAGGAGCAGGAGCAGGAGCTGGAACAGAGGGAGAAGGACGACGAAAGGGCGCAGGAATCAAATTAACAGGGTGTCAAAAGGATTAACCCGCAAAAGGAGGCGGAAGGAGCTGAGTTGGAAAGTACGTGACGCGTGAAGTGAGGCGGATAAACAACCCCGGCCAAGGGGAAGGAATTATCGGGGCACGTGTCCTGCTGGCTGGCTGATTAGCCACAGAAACCGGAAATAAAGACACATCAGAATGATGGACAGAACAAACCAGAAAGGATCACGGCTCCTGCTGGCACTCCTGCTGGCACTGCAACTGCTGCATCTCGTTGCCGGCACCACCGACTGGATGCAGAGCTGCAGCACCTGCCATTGCCATTGGAATTCGGGCAAAAAGTCGGCCGATTGCAAGAACAAAGCACTCACCAAGATTCCCCTGGACATGAGCAATGAGATGCAGGTGCTGGACTTTGCCCACAATCAGATACCGGAGCTGCGACGCGAGGAGTTCGTCCTCGCTGGATTGCCCAATGTGCATAAGGTGTTTCTGCGCAACTGCACCATCCAGGAGGTGCATCGCGAGGCCTTCAAGGGTCTGCACATTCTGATCGAGCTGGATATGTCTGGAAATCGGATCCGGGAGCTACATCCGGGCACTTTTTCTGGCTTGGAGAAGCTGCGCAATGTCATCCTCAACAACAACGAGATCGAGGTGCTGCCAAACCATCTGTTCGTCAACCTAAGCTTCCTGTCGCGCATTGAGTTCCGGAACAATAGGCTGCGACAGGTGCAGCTCCATGTCTTTGCCGGCACGGTGGCGTTGACCGCCATCTCGCTGGAGCAGAACCGACTGACGCACTTGCACAAGGACACATTCAAGGACCTGCAGAAACTGATGCACCTGTCGCTGCAGGGCAACGCATGGAACTGCAGCTGCGAGCTGCAGGAGTTCCGTGACTTTGCCCTAGCCAGGCGGCTCTACACACCCCCAACGGACTGCCAGGAGCCGGCCCAGCTGCGCGGCAAGCTTTGGAGCGAGGTGCCCTCGGAGAACTTTGCCTGTCGGCCGCGCATCCTTGGATCTGTGCGCTCCTTCGTGGAGGCCAATCATGACAACATCACCCTGCCCTGTCGCATTGTCGGCAGTCCGCGTCCCAATGTCACCTGGGTGTACAATAAGCGACCGCTGCACCTGCACGATCCCCGCCTGCGTGTCCTCACCTCGGTGGAGACGCTGCCCGTGCAACAGCCCTCCCAGGTGCTGACCTCCGAGCTACGCATCTTTGGGGTTCGGGCCTCCGACAAGGGCGCCTACACCTGTGTGGCCGACAATCGTGGTGGTCGTGCCGAGGCCGAGTTCCAGCTGCTGGTGAGCGGTGACTATGCCGGTGCCGTGTCCGCTTCGGATGGCCTGGGTGCCCTCGGCATGGGCGGAGCCATTGGAGCACCTACCAACGATCCACAGACGAATGTCTTCCTCATTATTTGCCTGATCACTACCACACTGCTACTCCTTCTGATTGTGATTGTCCTGACGCTGTTCTGGTATTGCCGCCGCATCAAGACGTATCAGAAGGACACCACCATGATGAGCGGTGATGGTTTAATCTCCTCCAAGCTGGACAAGACGCACAATGGATCCATGCTCGAGGGTTCCGTCATCATGGAGATGCAGAAGAGTCTGCTCAACGAGGTGAATCCCGTAGAGAAGCCGCCACGTCGCACGGACATTGAAAGTGTGGATGGTGGGGATGATGGCCACGAGATCAAGAAGACGTTGCTCGATGAGACGGTTTATGGTGAGTAACCAAAATTCTTTAAAGACAATTATAATAGAGGTTTCCTTCTCTTTAAGCAATGATTAAGTCAGCAAGATGTTACATTCTATGTAGAGCTTATTAGGGCAAGTTCCTGGCTAGCAAAGAACCTGATTTTAATGTCCATATATCCAGGCATTATACGCATCGTTGGGTATAACTCATTTCATGTGTCAACGCGGCGGTTGGACCAAAAAAGGATGCTGCCGTTGGCATTGGCAACATATGCCCGACCGACCAGGCTCTATTTATCAAATATTTCCAGCTGAATGCTGCTGCTCCTGGGCCAGGACTACATATTCCCCAGGCCAATACCAGAGCCGAAGCTAAACCCAGAGCCAACGCCATTACCAATGCCAATGTCAACACGCTTAGTATTTCCGCAGCATTAGGCAAACTGTCCCTGTGCCCAGTCCCTGTCCCTGTGCCCAGTCCCTGTCCCTGTGCCCAGTCCCTGTCCCTGTCCCTGTCCGTGTCCTCGGCAGGACAACTAACAGCTAGGAGGGCCAACAATCGGGACGGCCGGCGGCGGATGTTTGTTTTAAATTTCCAATTGCCAATTGCTGTTGACAATTGAATTGCGATGACAATTGGAAAGCCAATTGAATGCAATTGATGCCGGGCAATGACATGTGCCAAAGTGCAGCACAGCCCGGGTATCATTATTGTCCCGGCTTCTCCGACTCCACCTCCACCTCCACCTCCGTCCCGGAGGGCCAACTGCCAGGCGGAAATGATATCCTTCCCGTTCCATCCTCTGTCCTTTCCTTCCGCTGCTGCTGCATAGTGACAGGGAGCTTTACGGCGAAAATGTTGTCGCTAATCCCCGTCAAAAGACAGCTGTAGGAAAAAAGGCAAGTTTCCGAAATGTACAAGTCAGCCGAAAAAGGAAAAGTTCTTCCTTTCCAACTTCTTTATATCCGCGCAGGACAACTTGACCTAACTTGAAATTTTAAAGTTCGCAATGATGGCAATTGCCAATACTTCAATTAGCCTATCGATGATCGACCTCGAGCCAACTTTTTAATGAATATTTCGTGCAGCTGTGACCCCTGAAACTTGACCCCCATCTTGTTATTGTATTCCAGCTGCTGAGTAGGTTGAGTTTCTGAGTTTCTCTTTTCCCATGAAAACAACTGATTTTTTCCAGGGTCTAAAAACTTGAAATCTTGTAGAAGATTTCCCTTAGCAACAAGCCAAACTAGAGTCGGGACTGTCCGCTCCTTTGTGTTCTACGCACAGAATAAGCCGGATAAATACTTTGACCCCTGAGAAGATATACGTATTATAAAAGTATCCCCGCTGAACACCCGTAAATGATGTACTCGAAAGTTGTATGGGTTGAACGCTGGTAACAGGCACAGTCGTGTTTATTACGGTTTCGTCGCAGCTCCCTCCATGCTTTGCTTGGTGGTATTAGTACGCGTCTACATCTACATGTAAAGGCGAGTAATGTTGTTTACGACCGATTGGCACAGGGGACAGGTATATCGGATGCCCAGGGCTTCGTACAGGCAAGTGGTGCAGAACACGTGGCCGCAGTGTGTCGCGATTGGGTCCTTCAACTGCAGCATGCATATGGGGCATTTGTAGCCCGACTCGTTCTCGTTGTTGTTGGAAGCGCTTTCGGGGCATGGGGTGCTTCGTCATCGTCATCCCTCGTGATATCTATTATCTCCTCAGGCTCAATGCCATCGGCCAGGCGGCGTTGATCTTCAAAGGTAACGCAGCTGCAGGCTAAATAAGTCTTCCTTGAGCTAGCCATTCTCTTCTCTGTTAATTATTTTCCTGTAATTTATTAATTCCTGCTCAAAGAAAAAAAACGTACCTGTTTCGTCAATCTCTCTAATAATTTTGCGATGACTGAAAGTAGTTCGATAATTTGTAAGGGTTGTGTGAAAGGGTATGGGTTGCTGCTTTCACAAAAAAATTTACATTTTTAACAAGAATACAAACAAAGACCAATGTCCTGTGATTATAAAAACAAACAAACTTATTTGTCAAATCCAAATTTAAAAATAGCATAACTATGCCAAAAACTAATTGATTTCAATTCGGAAAGCAGTTCTATGTTATTCATATTGGTATGATTAAGGTGACAACCTTTAAAGTTTATTTTTTATCGATATTATATGCTGCAAGTGCATATGTATGCAACATGCATATGTATGTGTTGTTAAGGGCTAATACCAGAGTTAACTTACATTGAAACTTTACAGTCTCTGTTATCTAATAAACCTTCAGTTTGCTTAAAGGATGTTAAGAATATCAATGGTTTTAATGGGAAGTTAACAGCTCATTAACTGGCATTTGGTAATCTCCTTTGATAACTTAAAATTCATTATCAGTAAATCAACTAACCTGTGTCCTCTTGCAGTGCCCAACCACTCGCGGGATGAGGAGACCCACTCGGTGGCCTTGTCGGACACCACCACCACGGTTCGATCACGACACACGTACGTGGACGATGCGTACGGCAATAGCCTGCCGCCGGACCTGCTGGCCTTCCCCGCCCGAGTGCCACCCACCTCCCCCTCGATGCAGTCCTCGCAATCGAACATACCGGACCAGGTCATCTACGGCATCCGGTCGCCACCCTCGCTGGCCAGCCCCGTCTACACGCACATGACACCCCACGGGATCTACGGCACCAAGACGCTGGCGGCCTCCAACAATGGATTTATGACCCTGCAGCATCCCAAGTCCCGCAACCTGGCGCTGATAGCCACCGCCAACAGTAGCCGCCAGCAGCAGCAGCAGCATCAGCATCATCTCCAGCAGCAACAGCAGCAGCACCAGCATCAGAATCTACACCAGCATCCGTTGGCCGCCGCCTCGCCCTTCCTGCCCGCTCCCGTCGTCTACTCGCCGGCCACGGCGGTGGTCTTGAAACAAGGCTACATGACCATTCCGCGCAAGCCTCGCGCCCCCAGCTGGGCGCCCAGCACCTCGGGAGCGGCAGGCCACAATGTCAGCCAGCTGAGCGAGTTCCAGAGCCCCACCTCGCCGAATCCCAGCGAGACGGGCACAGCCACCACGGCGGAATTGCTGGCGGAGCCCGTCTACGATAATCTGGGTCTCCGCACCACCGCTGGCGGCAATTCCACGCTCAACCTGACCAAGGTCGCCGGCTCCGGCTCTGGCTCCAGTTCGGGCCAACAGTACACGATGCGAGACAGGCCGCTGCCGGCCACGCCGAGCATGACATCGATGGGCTCAGCGGCGAATGTCAGCAAGATCTACGAACCGATCCATGAGCTCATCCAGCAGCAGCAGCAGCACCAGCTACAGCAGCAACAGCAGCTCCACGGACACGCGGACACGGAACCGCTGTACGGGGGCGGCAGGCATCACGGGATCACGATACTGCCAGGCTCGAGCATCAGTGCCGCCGGACTGGGCCATGGGGCGGCTGGTGGGCCGCTGTCGCCAATGTCGGCAATGACCGGATCACCCAGCCACGAGAGCGGCAGCGGCGACTCGCCGAAGATCACCAAGATACCACCGCGGCCACCGCCGAAGCCCAAGAAGAAGATGTCCGTAACGACGACGCGCAGCGGCCAGGGCAGCACTAGCCAGCTGTTCGACGACGAGGGCGAGGACGGCACCGAGGTCTAGTTTGGCGGGAAGCAGGAGCAGCCTTTAGCAACACCAAGTGAAGGAGTGGCCACGGACGAGCAGCGACAGCCGCACAGAGCAGCAATACGAAGAAGCCAAGTCTAACTCAAGCGCAGCCAGGTGGAGATGAGGGATGGATGCGGATATTGGATAGTGGATAGTGGATAGTGGATAGTGGAGCCTTGCTGCTCCGGTTCCTGCTCCCACTCCATGTCCCTTTCCCGCTCCACTGCGCCGCTGCGTGACTTGTGTGCCAAACGACTGATGTAGATTTTAGTTATTAAATCGATGAACATGAACGTGAAAAATGTATACACTAAAGGATAACGAAAGCAGAAACTGCAGCACCGAAGCACCGAAGGATGAAGCCCGGACAAAATCCAAGGAAAATGTATTGAACATGAACGAGAGGGAGACAAACCCACACGGCTGGACAGACAGAGAGGGAGAAGTCCGTACGGATCGGAAGAATTCGCTTTTAGAACCATCTAATCCTAAATTTGAATTAGCGGAAATTTGTATGTAAAGAAAACAAATCCAATTTTAATGCAGATACCACTTCATATTTTTTTTTTTTTTGTTTTGTAGATTTAGTTAGTTTGGTACAAAGCATATATATATTTTTTTTAATATATATATATATAAATATATATATATAAGAGACATATATACAAGCATAACGAAATGATATATAAACCCTATACAAGCATACCTATAAATAACATAATTGAATTCAAAACGTTTTAACTCAACGAGAAACAAAAGAATAAGAAGTAAAATTAATAATATAATTAAGAAAGAGTTAAATAATAATGAAAATAGGAAACAAAAACGAGCGATAAGAAAAATCCCACTTGCATTTTTGTGTCGAAAAATGTTGAAACTTTTATGAAATTGTAAATTACAAAACGATGATAAGTTAGAATAACCCTAAGCTATTTACCCCTAAACATAATAATTGTAAACCTAGGCCGTAAGTCACACCCACATTGCATAGATGCAATAATTTTTTTTCTGATTTAGGATCGGGTGTTTAACTAGATATATAGTATATGTATATGGTATATATGTATATGCTATAAGGGTTTGCATTCGCAATTAAAACAAACAAAATCGATACAATTAATACTTATATGTTTAGTCTCGAGAGAGAGCAAGTTCGATCGTACTAGGTATTTTAATATATATATATATATTTAAACGATTTGCATATATATATATATATATATATATATATATATATATATATATATATATATCTATGTATGTATCTTGTACGTGTATATGTATGTGTAACTCTAGGCATTACATTTTCACCTAGTTATCCCACTTGAATATAGACATTAAAGCCCAGACAGATGTTACAAGCTGGAGCTATAGCCTTTACAAGCATTCGATTTATAAACAAAAAAGAAAAAAACTAAATATACACAAGGCATTTAACAGCGACCATTCTACATACATAAAAGCATACTTATATTCACAATTATAGGCAGAATACGATTAAGTCAAATGAGAATTAATAGGTAAATATATTGAGAAAGCTTAGCTGCCCAAAGTATGTAGTTAGAGAGGTACAGTTGCCCCCACATCCAATCCAATTCAATCACTGTTACGATCACATAACTAGCTATATCTCAACATTTGTTACCTTACCTTACAATTACCTTTATTTGACCTAATAGTTAATTTGTATTCAACTTTCCACCAAAATTAGCTTTCTTCGTTTATTTCAAACCATCTTTGCCACCTTAAAACTCAAAACAAAACTTTTACGATATTCTAACTAAGTAAAGAAGTTTTTTTACTTTTGGTAACTATCAGGTTTTTAAAACTTGAGGTTTTCATGGTTTCGGTTATATTTGAACTCTCTACCGATAAGAATCGATCACTTTTTAATGTTCACCCTTTGGGGAATATTACACAACCTCCTAAATAACTTGAATGTTCTGGAAAAGTACATCGAAACCATCATTCTAGAAGGATTTAAACCTTTAAATCATACTATTTGAAAACTACTTGGACTATACATCAAAAATTTTAATGATTAATGCATAAAAGTACAAGAGACTCTTTTCTATTTTTTTCCTCCTTTTTATTTTCTGTACTATATTTCTCAATCACAATCTATGAATATATAATTTTTTTAAAGTTTTTTTATATTAAGAAATTCAACCATCAAGTTCTTCATTTATTTGCAACTGTCGCGGTCAACCCATACTATGTAGTGTTTAGAGGCAAACAGAGAAAGGAATACTGAATTGGGCAGGCCTAGAGAAAGTATATGAAAATGTTAGGACCGTGGATAACGCCCCATACTTGCCCCTGAAACGGGATTCAGCCGGATAGATGTTCGCTCGAGTGAATAAAAACACAATCCAAATTTCGTTTTACATAAGCAAAAGTATTACACACACATAATTTATAATTAGTTAATTTAAGGTTTTTTTACTGTACTCGTTTTTTTGTGTGTCTAGAGTTATTTAGAGAGCAATTATTTGTAGGATTCTCTTTGTATTTTGAACAAGCAACGTAATATTGAAAGGAAAGATCTCGAAAATGCTAAATACCTTACACCGGCAGATTCTAAAATCAAGAGAAACAAATATAAAACAAACAGAAAATATCGTTGCAAGCAATTTGTTCAAATTAGCACAAAAATCAAAAAAAAAAAAATAAATAAAAAAAACATAATTATACATTTTTAAAATAACTGTAATTAATAGAAGGGTTCTTATACATACGCTTTTTTATAATTTCGCATTGTTTTCCTACCATATAAAAATATATACATATATATATTAAAATAAATTATATAAATAAAATGAATCCAACGAATTTGATATTTTGCGGACCGACTAACAGAGATGTGCGTGCTCGATCTTGCAGTGCAAAGAGAGTTTCCCCAAACAGCATCAGGTTGCAGCATCTAATCCCTCATCCACTCTCTCCACAGACAACATGGACTCGTTGGACAAGAAGGCGCACCTCTTCTTCAAGCAGTGCAAGCGCTGACGCAAGACGAGCTGCAGAACGAGTCCATGGACACGGAGTTCCACAGCCTGCGCGGAGAGTACTTCAAGGTGGCTTCCTGGAGCTGGACCACCGCAGGAACTAGCGGCGCTAACTTGACCGTCATCCTGGTCAACAGCTTCGCGGGCCGCGTTGTGGGCTCTGGCACCGGTACAGGCTCGGTAGCATATCGGCTGCCCAAATCGGTGCCAGCCAGCGACACCAGAAGCAGGAAAAAGCGGCGCGAAACCATTGGCACAGTGGCTGCTCAGGAGAAGCGCGCCAATCTCAACCACTCACTCCCTGTTGTTGCATCAGGTTCGGCGCGCACCAGGATCAACAACTGCGTCCGCCGCTAGCTCACAACCGCGCAAGCCCAGCAGTCCAATCTTTTCGGCAGCAGAGCCACCACGCATCTCACCCTGCGGGCCAGAGTGGCCTACAGCAGCCCGACGGAGTGGCGGCCGGAAAAGCTTTGGCCACCAGAGGTGCAGCAGGAGCCACAAGCAGATCGTACCACTCCCAGACGCACCACACAAGCCGCATCACACCAGCCACGGACATAAACATGGACATGGACACCGCAGCCGCTGCGGGCACAGTAATCAGAGCCAGGAGAAGAAGCTAAACACAGCCCTGGTGGTGCCACATGCGTCGGCAACTCCATCGCCTCGTCGACCTCTTCGATAGGCGTGTATTCAGTGGATATGCTCTACATGGCAGCAACTGTGGCCTCAACGAATCTCTCGGCCGGTGGCCGGGCCCACGGCTCGCTATCGATGACGGTAGCAGGTGCAGTTGGTTTGGCGGACCACAATTCGCAGCCCAAGAACGGGCAACGTGTATTTGCCAGGCAATAAGTGAATTAAACGATGAAGTTGAACAATCAAATGATAACATGGGGTTTATCATATATTAACTTCAATTTTTCGTAAATGTATTTACAACTCTAATTCAAATGAAACATTTATTTTAATTGTTCTCAAATAACAGCAGTGCTGGAAAACGCACGAACTTCAAAGGTTTGGCAGCACTGATCTATGGATAACTTTATAAGTGCGACCAGCTTAAGTAAATGTAAAAATCTTAAAGTGTTAGCAGTCTAGGAGCTTTAAGAAATCGATATTTTTCAGATCGTGATAAAATCAAGTGCGGGCTGCTGCTTTACGTTAAATACTGAAAATTAGGCATTTTGAAGGTAAAACTTTGCAGACACACTGCCGGTAAATTAGTGAAAATCATCTTGCAAAAACGTTTTCATAAATCGCTGCTGTCCTTTTTCTTGGACACAGCAGCAACACCGGACGTGCTCTACCTGGAGATGTTCGAGCCCAAAGAATTGCGCGACCGATTCACAAAGATGCGCGTGCTCGATCTAGCACTGCAAAGTGAGTCTCCCCAAACAGCATCAGGTTGCAGCATCTAATCCCTCATCCACTCTCTCCACAGACAACATGGACTCGTTGGACAAGAAGGCGCACCTCTTCTTCAAGCAGTGCAAGCGCGACGAGCTGCAGATCGAGTCCATAGACACGGAGTTCCACAGCCTGCGCGGAGAGTACTTCAAGGTGACTTCCTACAGCTGGACCAAAGCAGCCACTGCTCTGCTGCTGATTATGGGAGAGGAGAATTAGTGAAGGCGCTAATTTGACCGACACTCTGGTCAACAGCTTCGCGGGACACGTTGCGGGCTCTGGCACTGGTACAGGCTCGGTAGCATATAGGCTGCCCAAATCAGTGCCAGCCAGCGACACCAGGAGTTGGAAAGCGACGCGAGACCATCTGCACACTGCCTGCTCAGGAAGAGCGCACCAATCTCAACCACTCACTACCTGTTCTTGTATCAGGTTCGGCGCGCACCAGGATCAACAAGTGCGTCCTCCGCTAGCGTCTCACCCGCGCCAGTCCAAGCGTCCAATCATGTCGGCAGCAGAGCCACCACGCATCTCACCCTGCCGGTGGCCGTGGGCGTGAGTTTTGGCGTTACTGTGCCATAGCCACATACGACCTGCAGCAGAGTGGCGGAGGAGTCTGCGCTTCCAGTGCAATTGCCACAGCAGCCAGCCAAGCGTTAGTGACCACACAACTGATGCAGCAAGGACGCAGAACCTCCACTCTGAGGGCCAGCTATGAAGCCATCCATGAAACGACTGGTACAACGGCCGAATTCTGGTTACGGGCGGGCCAGAGTTAACAACAGCAGCCCGACGGAGTGGCGGCCGGAAAAGCATTGACCACCAGCGGTGCAGCCGGAGCAACAATCAGCTCGTACCACTCCCAGACGCACCACACCAGCCGCGGACATGAACATGGACATGGACACCGCAGCCGCAGCGGGCACAGTAATCACCACCAGGAAAAGAAGTTAAACACGGCCCTGGTGGTGCCCACACCACACAGTGCACAAACCTGGGCACTTTCACGACCGGCGGTAACTCCATTGCCTCGTCGACCTCTTTAATGAGTGTGTATTCGGTGGATATTCTCTACACGGCAGCAACTGCGGCCTCAACGAATCTCGGCCGGTGGCCTGGCCCACGGCTCGCTCTCGATGACGGTAACAGAAGCGGTTGGTTTGGCGGGCTACAATTCTCAGCCCCCAAGAGCTGCGCGACCGATTCACAAAGATGCGCGTGCTCGATCTAGCAGTGCAAAGTGAGTCTCCCCAAATAGCATCAGGGTGCAGCATCTAATCACTCTATCCACAGACAACACGGACTTGCTAGACAAGAAGGCGCACCTCTTCTTCAAGCAGTGCAAGCGCGACGAGCTGCAGAACGAGTCCATGGACACGGAGTTCCAAAGCCTGCGCGGTGAGTACTTGAAGGTGGCTTCCTGGAGCTGAATCGCCGCAGCAACTAGCGGCGCTAACTTGACCCGGCATCCTGGTCAACAGCATCGCGGGCTCTGGCACAGATACAGGCTCGGTAGCATATAGGCTGCCCAAATCAGTGCCAGCCAGCGACACCAGGAGCTGGAAAGCGACGCGAGACCATCTGCACACTGCCTGCTCAGGAAGAGCGCACCAATCTCAACCACTCACTCCCCGTTGTTGCAACCGCAACCTCCCCGTCACAACCGCGCAAGCCCAGGCGGCTAATCATGTCGGCAGCAGAGCCACCACAGTCTCACCCTGCCGGTGGCCGTGGGCGTGAGTGTTGTCGTAACTGTGCCACAGCCACATACAACCTGCAGCAGCGTGGCGGAGGAGTCTGCGCTTCCAGTGCAATTGCCACAGCAGCCAGCCAAGCGTTATTGGCCACCCAACAGATGCAGCAAGAACGCAGAACCTCCACTCTGAGGGCCAGCTATGAAGCCATCCATGAAACGACTGGTACAACGGCCGAATTCTGGTTACGGGCGGGCCAGAGTTAACAACAGCAGCCCGACGGAGTGGCAGCCGGAAAAGCATTGACCACCAGCGGTGCAGCCGGAGCAACAAGCAGCTCGTACCACTCCCAGACGCACTACACCAGCCACGGGCGAGGGCACCGCAGCCACAACAGCAGTCACAGCGGGCACAGTAATCTAAACCAGGAGAAGGCGGTTCACAAATCCCAACCCCAAGACCGGGCAACGTGTATTTGCCAGGTAATAAGTGAATTAAGCTAAAAAGTTGAACAGTCAGGTTTACCATATATTACTTTAAATTTTTCCTGATCATATTTACAACTCTATTTGAAATGAAATATTTAATTGTTCTCAAATTCCAGCAGTGCTGGGAAACGCAACAAATTCAAGAGTTTGGCAGCACTGAACTATCGATAACTTTATAAGTTCGACCAGTTAAGGTAAATGTAAAAATCTAAACGTTTTAACAGTCTGGCAGCTCTAAACTATCGATATTTTTCAGATCGTGATAAATTTCTTGACGATAAATACTGAAAATTTGGCATTTCGTAGGTAAAACTGTGCAGGCACACTGCCGCTAATTTGGGAAAATCATCCTGCAAATATAGTTCGTAAATTCTTGCTGCCTTATTTCTTGGACTTAGCAGCAACACCGAACATGCTCTACCTGGAGATGTTTGAGCCCCCAGGATTTGCGCGACCGATTGACAGAGATGCGCGTGTTCGATCTTGCACTGCAAAGTGAGTTTCCCCAAGCAGCATCAGGTTGCAGCACCTAATCCCTCATCCACTCTATCCACAGGCAACACGGACTCGCTGGACAAGAAGGCGCACCTCTTCTTCAAGCAGTGCAAGCGCGACGAGCTGTAGATCGAGTCCATGGACACGGAGTTCCACAGCCTGTGCGGAGAGTACTTAAAGGTGGCTTTCTACAGTTGGACCAAAGCAGCCACTGCTCTGCTGCTGATTATGGGAGAGGAGAATTAGTGAAGGCGCTAACTTGACCGACACTCTGGTCAACAGCTTCGCGGGACACGTTGCGGGCTCTGGCACTGGTACAGGCTCGGCAGCATGTCGGCTGCCCAAATCAGTGCCAGCAAACGACACCGGAAGCAGGAAACCGACGCGAGACCATCGGCACAGTGCCTGCTCAGGAAAAGCGCACCAATCTCAACCACTCACTCCCCGTTCAAGTATCAGGCTTCGCAACCGCATCAGGATCATCAACTGCTTCCGCCGCTAGCTTCACAACTGCGCAAGCCCAGGCGGCCAATCATGTCGGCAGCAGAGCCGCCACGCATCTCACCCTGCCCGTGGTAGTGGGCGTGAGTGTTGGCGTTACTGTGCTACAGCCGCATACAACCAACCAGCCACGCGTTTGTGGCCACCCAACAGATGCAGCAAGGACGCAGAACGTCCACTCTGAAGGCCAGTTATGGGCAATCCATGAAACGGCTGGTACAACGGCCGAATTTTGGTTGCGGGCGGACCAGAGTGGCCTACAGCAGCCCGACGGAGTGGCGGCCGGAAAAGCTTTTGCCACCAGCGGTGCAGCCGGAGCCACTAGCAGCTCGCTCCACCCTCACCACTCCCAGACGCACTACACCAGTCACGGACATAGCCACGGGCGAGGACACCGCAGTCACAGCGGGCACAGTAATCTAAACTAGGAGAAGGCGGTTCACAAATCCCAACCCCAAGACCGTGCAACGTGTATTTGCCAGGTAATAAGTGAATTAAGCTTAAAAGTTGAACAGTCACATAACGGGATTTACCATATATTACTTTAAATTTTTCCTGATCATATTTACAACTCTATTTGAAATGAAATATTTGTTCTCAAATTCCAGCAGTGCTGGGAAACGCAACAAATTCAAGAGTTTGGCAGCACTGAACTATCGATGACTTTATAAGTGCGACCAGTTAAGGTAAATGTAAAAAATCTAAACATTTTAACAGTCTGGCAGCTCTAAACTATCGATATTTTTCAGATCGTGATAAATTTCTTGACGATAAATACTGAAAATTTGGCATTTCGTAGGTAAAACTTTGGAGGCACACTGCCGCTAATTTTGTGAAAATCATCCTGCAAATATAGTTCGTAAATTCTTGCTGCCTTATTTCTTGGACCTAGCAGCAACACCGAACATGCTCTACCTGGAGATGTTCGAGCCCCCAGGAGTTGCACGACCGCTTCACAAAGATGCACGGACTCGATCTTGCAGTGCAAAGTGAGTCTACCCAAACAGCATCAGGTTGTGGCGTCTAATTCCTCATCCACTCTATGCACAGACAACACGGACTCGCTGGACAAGAAGGCGCACCTCTTCTTCAAGCAGTGCATGCTCGACGAGCTGCAGACAAGTACATGTACACGGAGATCCACAGCCTGCGCGAAGAGTACTTGAAGGTGGCTTCCAGGAGCTGGACCACCGCAGGAAATAGCAGCGCTAACTTGACCGGCATCCTAACTTGAACAGCATCGCGGGCTCTGGCACTGGTACAGGCTCGGCAGCATGTCGGCTGCCCAAATCAGTGCCAGCAAACGACACCGGAAGCAGGAAACCGACGCGAGACCATCGGCACAGTGCCTGCTCAGGAAAAGCGCACCAATCTCAACCACTCACTCCCCGTTCAAGTATCAGGCTTCGCAACCGCACCAGGATCATCAACTGCTTCCGCCGCTAGCTTCACAACTGCGCAAGCCCAGGCGGCCAATCATGTCGGCAGCAGAGCCGCCACGCATCTCACCCTGCCCGTGGTAGTGGGCGTGAGTGTTGGCGTTACTGTGCTACAGCCGCATACAACCAACCAGCCACGCGTTTGTGGCCACCCAACAGATGCAGCAAGGACGCAGAACGTCCACTCTGAAGGCCAGTTATGGGCAATCCATGAAACGGCTGGTACAACGGCCGAATTTTGGTTGCGGGCGGACCAGAGTGGCCTACAGCAGCCCGACGGAGTGGCGGCCGGAAAAGCTTTTGCCACCAGCGGTGCAGCCGGAGCCACTAGCAGCTCGCTCCACCCTCACCACTCCCAGACGCACTACACCAGTCACGGACATAGCCACGGGCGAGGACACCGCAGTCACAGCGGGCACAGTAATCTAAACCAGGAGAAGGCGGTTCACAAATCCCAACCCCAAGACCGGGCAACGTGTATTTGCCAGGTAATAAGTGAATTAAGCTAAAAAGTTGAACAGTCAGGTTTACCATATATTACTTTAAATTTTTCCTGATCATATTTACAACTCTATTTGAAATGAAATATTTAATTGTTCTCAAATTCCAGCAGTGCTGGGAAACGCAACAAATTCAAGAGTTTGGCAGCACTGAACTATCGATAACTTTATAGGTGCGACCAGTTAAGGTAAATGTAAAAATCTAAACGTTTTAACAGTCTGGCAGCTCTAAACTATCGATATTTTTCAGATCGTGATAAATTTCTTGACGATAAATACTGAAAATTTGGCATTTCGTAGGTAAAACTTTGCAGGCACACTGCCGCTATTTTAGAGAATTTCATCTTGCAAATATAGTTCGTAAATTCTTGCTGCCTTATTTCTTGGACCTAGCAGCAACACCGAACATGCTCTGCCTGGAGATGTTTGAGCCCCCAGGATTTGCGCGACCGATTGACAGAGATGCGCGTGTTCGATCTTGCAGTGCAAAGTGAGTTTCCCCAAGCAGCATCAGGTTGCAGCACCTAATCCCTCATCCACTCTATCCACAGGCAACACGGACTCGCTGGACAAGAAGGCGCACCTCTTCTTCAAGCAGTGCAAGCGCGACGAGCTGTAGATCGAGTCCATGGACACGGAGTTCCACAGCCTGTGCGGAGAGTACTTAAAGGTGGCTTTCTACAGTTGGACCAAAGCAGCCACTGCTCTGCTGCTGATTATGGGAGAGGAGAATTAGTGAAGGCGCTAACTTGACCGACACTCTGGTCAACAGCTTCGCGGGACACGTTGCGGGCTCTGGCACTGGTACAGGCTCGGCAGCATGTCGGCTGCCCAAATCAGTGCCAGCAAACGACACCGGAAGCAGGAAACCGACGCGAGACCATCGGCACAGTGCCTGCTCAGGAAAAGCGCACCAATCTCAACCACTCACTCCCCGTTCAAGTATCAGGCTTCGCAACCGCACCAGGATCATCAACTGCTTCCGCCGCTAGCTTCACAACTGCGCAAGCCCAGGCGGCCAATCATGTCGGCAGCAGAGCCGCCACGCATCTCACCCTGCCCGTGGTAGTGGGCGTGAGTGTTGGCGTTACTGTGCTACAGCCGCATACAACCAACCAGCCACGCGTTTGTGGCCACCCAACAGATGCAGCAAGGACGCAGAACGTCCACTCTGAAGGCCAGTTATGGGCAATCCATGAAACGGCTGGTACAACGGCCGAATTTTGGTTGCGGGCGGACCAGAGTGGCCTACAGCAGCCCGACGGAGTGGCGGCCGGAAAAGCTTTTGCCACCAGCGGTGCAGCCGGAGCCACTAGCAGCTCGCTCCACCCTCACCACTCCCAGACGCACTACACCAGTCACGGACATAGCCACGGGCGAGGACACCGCAGTCACAGCGGGCACAGTAATCTAAACCAGAAGAAGGCGGTTCACAAATCCCAACCCCAAGACCGGGCAACGTGTATTTGCCAGGTAATAAGTGAATTAAGCTAAAAAGTTGAACAGTCAGGTTTACCATATATTACTTTAAATTTTTCCTGATCATATTTACAACTCTATTTGAAATGAAATATTTAATTGTTCTCAAATTCCAGCAGTGCTGGGAAACGCAACAAATTCAAGAGTTTGGCAGCACTGAACTATCGATAACTTTATAGGTGCGACCAGTTAAGGTAAATGTAAAAATCTAAACGTTTTAACAGTCTGGCAGCTCTAAACTATCGATATTTTTCAGATCGTGATAAATTTCTTGACGATAAATACTGAAAATTTGGCATTTCGTAGGTAAAACTTTGCAGGCACACTGCCGCTATTTTAGAGAATTTCATCTTGCAAATATAGT